ACGGTGGTGTCAAGCCTGTAATCCCAGCACTTTGGGAGCCTGAGACGGGCGGATCACGAGGTTCAGGGAGATCAGACCAGTCGCCTGGCTTACACAGTGAAGCCCATCCTGACATAAAATACCCAAAAAAAACTCCTGGCGAGGTGGCGGGCGCTCCTGTAGTCCTAGCTGCTTGGGGAGGCAACTGAGCAGGAGAATGGCACTGAAGACCCAGGCGAGGCTGGAGTGTCTCGACAGTGACGAGAAGCGCTTGCCACCAGACTTCAGACCAGCCTGGGCGACAGAGTGACACTCCGTCTCAAAAAAAAAAAAAAAAAAAAAAAGCAGTGTGTTTCACAAGCCTCTTACACTCATTTTTTGGGGGAGGGACAGGGGGGGAGGGTAGGAGGATAGATATCCAGAATGTCCGTATATAATTGAAAAAAATTTTCTAATTTATCATATAGGGACTGGGGCCTCTCTATGTTTCCCCCAGCTGGTCTGAAACTTCCTGGCCTCAAGCCCATCCTCTCCTGTGTGGGATTGCAGCGCTGAACCACTCGCCACGCGGGGCCTGTGGGGGCCTGTGCGCGGTGGCCAACCGCGTTTTTGTTTCTCTCCTCTCATCGTCGATTTTCTGCTCTCCTCTTTTTTTTGGGGGGAGGGGGGGAGGTAGGGGATAGATACAATTCTATATAATTGAAAAAAAATTTTTAATTTATCATATAGGGATGGGGTCTCTCTATGTTTCCCCAGCTGGTCTGAAACTCCTGGCCTCAAGCCATCCTCCTGCCTTGGCCTTCCAAAGTACTGGGATTGCAGGCATGAACCCCTGTGCCTGGCCAACTCTTTTTTTTCTCTCTCTCTCTCTTTCTCTGCTTCAGTTTCATTGATTTTTATTGATCCATCATCAAATTCACTAATGCTTTCTTCTGGTTTATCTAGTCTGCTATTAAATCTAAATCTGTGTAATGGGCTTTTAATTTCAGATATGCTTTGTAACTGTAGAATATTCACTTGGTTCTTTTTATACATTCTATTTCTCTGTTGAAATTCTTCATCTTCCCATCCCATGTTCCTTCCCCCATCTTTTCCTCTATTTTCTCTTTAAAATTTATTATTATTTTTTTCTCTAGCACATATCAGCCAGATATTTTCTTTAACATATTTATAATAGTGTTGTCGTCTGTTAATTCCAATACTGCATCATCTGCAGGTCTGCCTCCGTTGGCTGTTTTTCCCCCTTATTTCCCCTTTAAAGTGGTTGTAAGTCACATTTTCTGCTTCTTTGTATATCTTAAATGTTTAAATTGTATGCCAGACATTGTATATAAAAAGAATGTAGAAACCAAAGCTGTGGTTTCCACTGCAGAGAAAACTGCTCTTTCCTGTTAGGCAGTTTGATTAAGGGCTTATCACCTCAATTCAACCATTAATTGATCTCGGTTGGGGCAAGGTTGCAGCTTTCGATAGATTTAGTTAACTTGAGTTTCAAATTTCTTGATGGGGAAAAAGTGTTTTTATTTTCTTCAGATTGAGTCTCGCTCTGTCGCCCGGGCTGGAGTGCAGTGGCACAATCTCAGCTCACTGCAACCTCCGCCTCCCAGGTTCAAGCAATTTTCCTGGCTCAGCCCCCTGAGTAACTGGGATTACAGGCACGCTCCACCACGCCTGGCTAATTTTTGTATTTTTAGTAGAGATGGGGTTTCACCATGTTGGTCCGGCTGGTCTCGAACTCCTGACCTCAGATGATCCACCCACCTTGGCCTCCCAAAGTGCTGGAATTACAGCACTTTGAGCCCCCACAAAGTGGTGCCACTTTGGAGCCACCACACCCAGCCCAAAGTTTTCTATTTTGATTACAGGTATCTCCCTCCAATGCTAGGCCCTCTCAAGACCTTGTGACTTTGGGTGATTTTATTTGGCATTTCTAGCCCGGCCTTCTGCATTCAGAAAAGTCCCATAGGGAAAACCAGGTACACATTCAGGACTCCTCCAGATTCCTGTCTATCACATCAGTTTTATTTGGCCATGTGTAGCTTTTCTGGTTTCTCTTCCTTCAACCAGAGTGACTTTGTCTATGGCAAGCTTGATCCTAAACCCATACCCAGACCTGGCAGATACCCCTAGGAAGAAAAATGGACACTGGTGTCTACTTATTGGGGGAACCAGCCCCTGATATTTCAACGTAGGTTCTTTTCTGTTTTCCCTAAGTGTCGGCTGGTCTGAGAAATAAAGGGAAAGAATACAAAAGAGAGAAATTTTAAAGCTGGGTGTCCGGGGAACGCATCACATGTCGGCAGGTTCCATGATGCCCCTTGAGCCACAAAAACCAGCAAGTTTTTATTAGGGGTTTCAAAAGGGGAGAGGTATATGAATAGGGAATGGGTCACAGAGATCACATGCTTCAAAGGCAATAAAATATCGCAAGGGCAGAGAGACAGAGTGAGATCACAAGGCCATGGTGAAACTAGAATTACTGATGAAGGTCCATGTTCTGCTGGGCACACGTTGTCATTGATAAACATCTTAACAGGAAACAGGGTTCGTGAGCAGACAGCCGGTCTGACTAGAATTCACCAGGCTGGAATTTCCTAATCCTAGCAAGCCTGGGGGTGCTGCAGGAGACCAGGGTGTATTTCATCCCTTATCTTCAACTGCATAAGACAGACACTCACAGAGTGGCCATTTTAGAGACCTTCACCTGGAAATGCATTCGTTTGTCCAGAGTTATTCCTTGCTGAGAAAAGAATTCAGCAATATTTCTCCTATTCGCTTTCTGGAAGAAGAGAAATATGACCCTGTTCTGTCTGGCCCCGCAGGCCGTCAGACTTATTGTTATCTCCCTTATTCCCTGAAAATTGCTGTTATCCTGTTCTTTTCAAGGTGCTCAGATTTCATATTGTTCAAACACACATGCTTTACAAACAATTTGTGCAGATAACGCAATCATCACAGGGTCCTGAGGTGACATACATCTTCAGCTCATGAAGATGATGGGATTAAGAGATTAAAGTAAAGACAGACATAGGAAATTATAAGAGTGTTGATTGGGGAAGTGATAAATGGCCATGAAATCTTCACAATTTATGTTCTTCTGCTGTGGCTTCAGCCGGTCCCTCTGTTTGGGTTCCCTGACTTCCCGCAACATCTGCTCACCAAGGAAAGCCTCTTACTTTTCTGGAATTTAAATCCTATTGATCTCTCTGTATCCATAGCTCTCTGATGATTTTTTAAATTTGATATTTGTAGTTTTTTTCGTAGTTGTTACCATGAAAATAATGGTCTGCCTTTATCTTCTGTAAAAACTGGAACTAGAAATCTTTTACCATATAACTTTCTGATAAATGTATAGCTATCTTTTTTGTACAAGAGACTAACAAGTTCTAACAAAAGCTATGTGACATTTCTTATAATTTCTTGATTATTCAGCTTTTAACTTTAATTAAATAGCACATACGCTGTGTGATCATTCTGTATTTATAAAATTGAACTTGTTACAGCCAAGTGATCATTTAAATTGTATCTGCTTGGTAAATGCAGGTGTATCTGTTGCTGATCGAGAGGCCAGTCTGGAATTAATTAAGTTGGACATATCCCGTACATTTCCATCTCTCTACATCTTTCAGAAGGTGAGGGTTTCTAACTAGCTTGTCATTACTTAAAAAAAAAAATCTATCAATATCCAAGGCAACAGATTATTTAAATGAAGAGCTATTACTTTAAAAAAGGCAAAACTATAGAAATTGGGAACCTTGTATAAAAGTCTAAAACTAGTTATAAAATTATAAAGGAATTTCTATTATTTTATTCCACTGACCAAAATACATTGTAGTTAGCATAGCATTTAATACCTTTTATGTAGTAGGTACTTGATGAATTTTATTACAGTGAATTTGTTTTGCTTTTTATTTTGTAAGATATATGAATTATTAATGTTTTGGCCTAGTATATTGTTAAAGTATAAAGAACTTTGTCACAAAACTTAAAATGTTTCAGAATTATCATTAAAATAGGAAGAAATGGTTTTTTTTTGTACATAGGCTATTATGAAGTTGATTATACCTTATTGAAAGAGAAATGACTACATTATATATACTTTACCTTTGGCTGAAGTCTTTATTTTTATTTCTTTTTAAATTTGAGATCAGGTCTTGCTGTGTTGCCCAGGCTGGACTCGAACTCCTAGGCTCAAGCAATCCTCCTGCATCGGCCTCCTGAGTAGCTGGGATTATGGGATTACAGGCATGTGCCACCACACCCAGCTGATTCAAGTCTTTATACATGGAATTCTTCTATGTTTAGATTTATAAAAATAAAAGATAAAAATTTTTACCATTAAGATTAAAATTATTGGCCGGGCGCGGTGGCTCAAGTGTGTAATCCCAGCACTTTGGGAGGCCGAGACGGGTGGATCACGAGGTCAGGAGATCGAGACCATCCTGGCTAACACGGTGAAACCCCGTCTCTACTAAAAATACAAAAAAAAACTAGCCGGGTGAGGTGGCAGGCGCCTGTAGTCCCAGCAAAGTAGTCCCAGCTACTCGGGAGGCTGAGGCAGGAGAATGGCGGGAACCTGGGAGGCGGAGCTTGCAGTGAGCTGAGATCCGGCCACTGCACTCCAGCCTGGGTGACAGAGCGAGACTCCGTCTCAAAAAAAAAAAAAGATTAAAATTATTAACACGGTTTAGTGTAGCTTGATGATTTTTTTTGCTGATGCTGTATTATATAAAATGAAACAGTCTGTATTCATCATACTCTTATTATACCAAATCTAGAAGGTTTTAAAACTGTTGGCAAATTATATAGCTTGTATCCATCAAGTAAGTTTATTTGACTTTTTTTTGTTGTTGTTATTTAGTACTAAATATTTCTTTTTTCTTTCTTTCTTTCTTTCTTTTTTTTTTTTTTGGGCGATTCTCACTCTTTTGCCCAGGCTGGAGTGCAGTGGTGCAATCCTGGCTCAGTGCAACCACTGCCTCCTGAGTTCAAGCGATTCTTCTGCCTCAGCCACTCGAGTAGCTGGGATTACAGGCGTATGACACCATGCCCAGCTAATTTTTGTATTTGTAGTAGAGATGGGGTTTTGCCATGTTAGCCAAGCTGGTGTCAAACTCCTGGCCTCAAGAGACCTGCCCATCTCGACCTCCTAAAGTTCTGGGATTACAGGCATGAGCCACTGTACCCATCTGCAGTATTAAATATTTCTTATTAATAAATTGGAAAACATCTTGGCAGAGTACATTTATAATATTTTTTATTAAATATGCTAAAACTAGTCATTTAGGAAATGTTACAGTTTATTAACATGTTATATAAAAATTAACTTAGAGACAATTATTTGTACAGTTTCAAATTTCATTTTTCTCTCCTAAGGGTGGCCCATATCATGATGTCTTACATAGTATTTTAGGGGCATACACGTGCTACAGACCTGATGTTGGTTATGTAAGTATTTGTTTCAATCTGTTTTTTGAATGTAAGCATTTTATCTACACTCTTTATCAAAATATCCTATGTTGTATTAGCTCCCAAATGTCTGTATCTCTATGTCTGTTTTTCTTGGGCTTATCAATTTACCCAGTGAAGAATCTTTCCATCTCTTGCTGAGCTTATATGTACTTGAGACTGTCAGTTTTCTGGGGGAGCTATGGGAGATTTCACCATGCAATTTCTAAACTTTTATTTCATGTCCTGATGTCAGGGGGGTGCCTTGTCCCCCTCTTTTAACCTTCTTTTCCATGACTGTGCCTCTAGAGAGTAAACCTCCTGTGTTCCACCAGGTTAAAGGAAGGATAGGTACCTGTCCCTAAAGGATAGGGGAGGGGATTTGCTCCTTTTACAGACTTTCACCCAATCCTATTTTTAGCTCTATTTCTCAATTTCACAGGTACCTGACAACTTCAGCTTCTGAGCCTTCAGGGTTTTACAGCAGAATTGGCTTGCTGATTGTTGGCTTCCTCCTCTGTAGATATTTTAGTTTTAACATTCTACACTTACTTAATTTACAATTTCTAAAACACTATTAACTATCTACTATATAATTTTTCATTCTTGTAGTCCTCATGGGTTAGTATTTTTTTTCTTTACTGTATTTTTAGTTGGATTTTTCAGGAGAACAAAGAAAGATGTGATGTTCAATTGCCATTTTTAACTAGAAGTTATAGAACTTTCATCTTCGCACCTTTGCCTTAAAATAAAAGAATGTTAGACATCTCTATAGGGTGACTGTCTGGTACAAGTTACTTTGTTCTGTTGCATGTTCATTTCTATGTTTGTTTACTCAATAAATATTGTGCACTTATGACTATATGTCAGGCATTGTTCTAGGTACTTGAAATACCTCAGTGAACAAAATGATTTCTTTCCTTACAATGCTTACAGTTTAGAAGAAAGAGACAATAAACAACAAACAAGTAAATCATGTTATATTAAAAGATAAGTGCTGTGGAAAAGTGTGGGATGATAAAGGGGGAAAGTGCCAGATTTAGGGTGGGGCAGGTCGTAGTATTTGGAAAGATCATCAGATAGTCCTTATAGAGAAAGTTAGATTTAAGCAGAGTCTTTAAACTCTCTTACTCAGGTATTCTGTGAATGAATTTTAAGAACACCTTGTATCCCCTTCACATGTTTAAGCTGAAGTTTAAAGTTTTTTATTATAAGTTTACTTGTAAATAATTTAATTTTTTAGCACTGGTTAAATTTGACATCTTATAGTTTTTTTAAAATGTCCCCAGGCAGGCCAGGCGAGGTGGCTCACACCTGTAATCCCAGCACTTTGGGAGGCCAAGGTGGGTGGATCACACGTTCATGAGTTGGAGACCAGCCTGACCAACATGGCAAAACCCCGTCTCTACTAAAAATACAAAAATTAGCCGGGCATGGTGGCATGCGCCTGTAATCCCAGCTACTCAAGAGGCTGAGGCAGGAGAATTGCTTGAACCTGGGAGGCGGAGATTGCAGTGAGCCAAGATCGTGCCACTGCACTCCAACCTGAGCAACAAGAGCGAAACTCTGTCTCAAAAAAAAAAAAAAAAAAAATGTCCCCAGACTGGGCACAGTGGCTCGGGCCTGTAAATCCCAGCACTTTGGGAGGTTAAGGCAGGAAGATCGCTTGAGCTCAGGACTCCCAGGCTGCAGTGAACTAGGATTGGACCACTGCATTCCAGCCTGCACAACACAGCAAGACCCTGTCTCAAAAAAAAACAAAAGAAATCTGTAGTGGAATTTAAATACTGTAATGAATTTACATATATCATAGTCCATTTAAAAAAGTATATATTAACAAACTTTTCATTAATATTTTACATTTTTTGTTTTTTCTCTGAACTTGTATCTCTTTCTTTTTTTATTTTTTTGAGACAGGGTCTCAGTCTGTCACCCAGGCTAGAGTACAGTGGCGTGATCATGACTTACCTGGTCCCTTGGTCCCTGGTGAGTCTTCCACCTCAGCCTCCCAGGTAGCTGGGACGGCAGGCACAAGCCACCATGCTTGGCTAATTTTCTGTATTTTTTGTTAAGACAGGGCACTATGTTTCCCAGGCTTGTCTTGAACTCCTGGCTCAAGTGACCCGCCCGCATTGGCCTCCCATAGTGCTGGGATTACATATGTGAGCTACGGTGCCTGACTGATACTATGATTTTTTAATATAATGTTATATAATTAAAACAAAGTCGTTAATCTGCCCAACATCTGAAATATTTGACCTTTTTTGTAATGAGAGTATTTGAGATTTACTCTCTAAGAGATTGTGAAATGTACAGTACTCAATCATTAGTTGTGTTTGCCATGTTGTGTAATAGATATTAAAAAAAAAAAAAATCAGGCCAGGCATGGTGGCTCATGCTTGTAATCCCAGCATTTGGGAGGCCAAGGTGGGAAGATCGCTTGAGCCCAGGAGCTTAAGACCAGCCTGAGCAACACAGTGAGACCTCATCTCTGCAAATAATAAAAAATTAGCCAGGTGTGGTGGTTTGCACCTGTAGTCCCAGCTACTCAAGAGGCTGAGGTGGAAAGATCGCTAGAGTTCAGGCTCTTGAGGCTGTAGTGAGCCGAGATCGTGCCTGGGCAACAGAGTGGTACCTTGTCTCAAAAAAAATGAAAGTTACTCCTCATTTCAACCTGGAGCTTTTTGTACTCTTTGATTATCATCTTCCCTACCCCCAAGCCTCTGGTAACTACCATTCTGCTCTCTGCTTCTATGAGTTCGGTGGTTTTAGATTACACATTTAAGTGAGAACATGCAATATTTGCTTTTCTGTTTTTGCCTTATTTCACTTAGCATAATGTTCTCCAGTTCCATCCATGTTGTCCCAAATGACAGAGTTCCTTCCTTTGTTAAGGCTGAACAGTATTCTTTTGTATACACACACACACACACACACACACACACTCTCTCTCTCTCATCCCATTCATCTATTGATGTACACTTAGGTTGATTCCTTAACTTGGCTATTGTGAGTAGTGCTATAGTGAACATGGGAGTGCAGATATCTTTTTGATATACTGATTTCAAGTCTTTTGGGTAATAGCCAGAAGTGAGATTGCTGGACCACATAGTAATTCTATTTTTAGTTTTTTTGAAGAACTTCATAGAGTTTTCTATAGTAGCTGTACTAATTTACATTCCTATTAACAGTGTGCAAGTTTTTTTCTCAACAACCTCACCAACACTTATCTTTTGTCTTTTTGGTAATAGCCATATACAGCAGTCCCCACTTATCCTTAAGGGATATATTCCAAGACACCAAGTGGAATATATAAGTTTGGGTTTTTTTGTTTTTGTTTTTGAGACGGGATTTTGCTCTTTTTAATTTTTTCTTTCTTTTTTTTTTTTTTTTGAGATGGAGTCTTGCTCTGTTGCCCAGGCTGGAGTGCAGTGGTGCTATCTTGGCTCACTGTAAGCTCCACCTCCCAGGTTCACACCGTTCTCTTGCCTCAGCCTCCCGAGTAGCTGGGACTACAGGTGCCTGCCACCACACCTGGCTAATTTTTTTGTGTTTTTAGTAGAGACAGGGTTTCACCATGTTAGCCAGGATGGTCTCGATTTCCTGACCCCATGATCCTCCCACCTCAGCCTCCCAAAGTGCTGGGATTACAGGTGTGAGCCACCATGCCCGGCCAAGATGGGGATTCGCTCTTGTTGCCCAGTTTGGAGTGCAATGGCACGATCTTGGCTCACTGCACCCTCTGCCTCCTGGGTTCAAGCAATTCTCCTGCCTCAGCCTCTCGAGTAACTGGGATTACAGGTGCCCGCCACCACGCCCGGTTAATTTTTTGTATTTTTAGTAGAGACGGGGTTTCACTATGTTGGCCAGGCTAGTTTCGAACTCCTGACCTCAGGCAATCCACCCGCCTTGGCCTCCCAAAGTATTGGGATTACAGGCGTGAGCCACCGTGCCTGGCCTATATAGGGTTTTGTACTTGTCCTGAAACTGCAGATAGTGCAGAATCCTATAGATACTATGTTTTTTCTATACATACATACCTATGATAAAATTTATTGATTAGGCACAATAAGACATAAACAGCAATAACTAATAATAAAGTAGTACAGTTATAACACTCTTCTAACAATTTAGGTAAAAGAAGCAGTACTCGAACACAAGCTCTACAATACCACAACAGTTGATCTTATAACTGAGATGGCTACTAGGCAGGTGGGTAGCATATACAGCATGGTTACGCTGGATAGAGGGATGATTCTCTTCCTTGGCAGGATGGAGCAGGACCACTCCAGATTTTACCACCCTATTTAGAATAGCATGCAGTTTAAAATGTATGACTTGTTTATTTCTGGAACTTGCCATTTAATATTTTCAGACCACTGTTGACCACAGGTAACTGAAACTTCAGAAAGCAAAACTGGGGAAAGTGGAGGACTACTGTATTTTATTTGATTTCTGTCACAGAATTTTATTCTAATGTAACACTTTTCTACCCAAAAGTCTTTTAGTAATCTCATTATACTTCTGCTACAAATATATAAATTAATTAAAAATGAAAAATCAGCTTTATTTCTGATATACATAATATTCTAAATATTAAATGTTTTTTCTAATTTGTTATTACAATTACTAGTATAACTGATCAAAACAAATAGACTACATAAATGAAAAAAACAAAACAAAGTTTTAATTATCTCAGTAACTCAATTAGATTCTCCTTCAACTTTATTAAAAACAGAAGACTGTTAAGTACTTGAGTTGCAAAAACATTTTGTTACCAATCATTAGAATTGTTCATTTTCTCAGTTTCTGTAAAGTATCCCAAAAGCCTTTATTGAGACTAGTCAAAATATCTATTACTGACATTTTATGCTAAATTTTATTTTGTGTTTTGTGTTTTTTGTTTTGAGACAAGGTTTCACTCTGTTGCCCAGGCTGATCTTGAACTTCTGGGGCTCAAGTGATCCTCCCACCTCAGCCTCCCAAAGTGCTGGGTTTAT